GTCACACCTGTTCTGCTTGCTTTTGTCGTGGCGCAGGGGACGTATGGCGATAGTCGAACTGGATGTCGGCCATGTGAGACGGGTCCAGATATGTGGTTTTTTTGGACGAGAGGGCGAGACAGGTGATGGACTGTGGATGGATCCAGACTCAGTAGCCGAATCAGGCTGCAGCGGCAGGCCTCGCGGAAGGGTATGCCGTGTGTGATAGCGGTTAAGTTTCCGTGGATCGTGCAATCGCGATCGACTACATTCACTGCACCCGAACAGTAGCTAGTTTAGAAGACGAAGATGCGATCACTAGAACAAGAGTTTTATTTGCCTGACGTTTCTGATTCACTCGGGAATCCTTAATCATAGTTGATGATAATACATTCATGGTAATGCGCAAATAGGGTAGCTAGTTTATCTCCCCAAATGTTAACCCACATTTTGAAGCGTCTTTTCGATTAGAACAGCTTGCTTACTTGAGGTTTTAAAATTCGTTATCGTACAGCATAAATCCAAGACATTGCAGTCATCTTATAATGGCGACAGCAAAAACTATCAGCTACTTCAGTAGTATGGATTTTTCGCATTAACGTTCTATGCTCATCTGCATTCTAATATATAAAATTATTCAGTTGTCCATTTATTCGGTTTACAAACCTTTCCAAATTCCGAAAATATTCCCATGTTTAACTTGGAAAGTTTTTTCGGCAAACATGTTTTTTCAGCAATTCATCATCGGACCGTTACAATTCCAGAGATAGTGAAACTCGTATAATTGGACGGGGTTAAAAAGTGTCTTGTGAGGTCAAGTCATCGTTTTTCCGTCGTCTGCGTGGGTGGATCGGCATGTGAGGCCATTGCGCAGGGAAAGGGGGGAGGAGATTAGGATAGGCCTATGAGCATTGGCTATGTGTCCGATACGTAATGTGAAATTTACTGCCATTTGCATGGAGTGAAGTACTGTCACTAGAGTGTAGGGGCGATATGCGATCGTCACCTGGCATCGGCCACGGAATTAAAAGTGTTTGTATTAGCGCCTTCTGCCAACACTGGATTAGCTACTGCCTCGACTATTGCAAACAACCGTTGGCGTAGGCCATCGAATAAGTAGCCTGGTGTCCGGTAGACAACCTGGAAGGCTTCCTTAGGATCAACTCGGTGATTCGTATCGACAAGGTTTGTGAGAATAGAACTCGAAATTGATCTATTTTCACCTTTATTTAGCCAGGCCGGTATGTGTTCACGTACCCTCTTTTCAGGGCGCTTCTTTTTTTCGGCCAATGTATCCTGCTCCACTGGAGCATTTGAAAGAGTAAATGCACATAGATTTTGCTTTCAACAGGAGTCGTTTATTTCCCAGTTTTAGGAGGGGAGAGTTCGCTAAGAATATGTGTAAGTTCGCTGCGCAGAAAGCGCTTGTAATCGCAGTCCTCAGACGTCGTCTAATCAGCTCGCTTGTTACATCGCCCAAGAAAGGCAGTCTTATGAACACTTCTTTTCTGCGGTTAAGGTAGTAGGCTTTTTGGTACGTTCATCAATATTTCTGAAGATAAACCTTTCTGGGTATACATTTTCAGGTAGCGCGTTCGGCAACTCTTGGAGTTCTGCTTCGAAAGTTTCAGAAGAGCAGATTCGTCGCACTTTAGCTGCTAATCCCTGGACTGTCCAACTGTACGATTTTCATTATTCATGAACTTGTAACAATCCGAT